AAAATAAAAAAAAAAAAAAAAAAAATCCAAATTTCAAGTAACATAGGCAGAATTACTTGAACAATTACAGACAGAAATTACACAGAACAATACTTAGATTGAAAGACAGTGCTAGTGACTTGTGCTTAGGCTGGAGGTAAGAGAGTTACTCCTCGACAATCCCAAATTCAACAGAATTGAATTGAGGTTTATATAGAGGAAAGCATGATCTGGATTTGTAGTCCTATGTAGTTCTTGGATCATTTGGTGAAGAGTAAACAATTCAAACATCTTCTTATTGCTCCTGCAAAAGATTTTACATAAAATAATTGTCAATTGAAAATTGAGAGATTTCATCTAAACACTAAAGATTCTACAGAAATTTCTTTTTTCATGAAGAAAAATGTGCATTATATTGGGAGCTTCCTATAATTCTTCTACGTTGCATACAATGTCTCTAAGCAGAAAGTTATCAATGCGCAGTGAGAAAATTCTAGGCAAAAATCACCAAAAACTATCATTTCACTTGAGCAAGTGGTATTTACATGTAGTATAATGAAAGCTCAAGGAAAGGCTGTAACAGGGTTTCACTAATGTGAAATGAGATTCCAGAAACAATAAATGAAAAAAATTAAATAATTAGGATTTCTGAGCAAATTTTACTTTTAGTATATTTCCAATGTAAGTTATGATTTTTATTAGATTACTTTATAGGAAAACATATTTTTTTTCCTAGAGTTCAATTTTGTTGCAAATAAAGTCAAATGAAAACCTCAGTTTTGTCAACAACTTTAAGTCTAATGTAAAAAATGGCTCGGTTTAGATACCTGCTTTTATAAATGAAACAATCCCATTAAATAATGCACCAATGGAACTCAGCAGCACATTACTACTGATATGATGAAGACCTTTGTTACGATAAACTAATAACCAGCAAGCAACGGGAACATATTTTATAAAGATTAACATTCCCAAAAGGGCTTAAACGGCTCAAGACTTTAAATTTTGTTCTTGAAGTACATAAAAACCAATGAAACTTCAATGCAAGTCACAGATGAGGCTAAATTTTCAAAGGAGATTACCACCAAGTACCGAGTAAAACTGAAGGTCAAGGGGAAAGAAAAGAAGGGTTCTCTTCTAAGCATTCTTGTCATCTGCATACATAAGGAATATTTCCTCTTTAGGCTAGGTTGTGGGGTTTTGTTTAGTTTGTATTCTGTAAATTAACTGGATTTATAAGCAAATTTAGTCTTGTCTGACACATCTGTGACACAAAGAGTTTAAATTTAACTGCTGATGGAGAAAGTCCAGCATTGTCCATGATAGAGCAAATAAACAGCAAAACAGAGATGAGTTTTTGAAAAAGGAGAAAGATAAAGGTCCCCAAGTGTGCTGATCTAATAATAACTAACAGAATAACGGTAGTAAAGGATTACTTTATTCTGGAGAGTTTTTGCAGTATAACACAGAGCTTTTCCAAAATCTGAATATCCAGCTGAGAACTTCGAAGCAATACAGAGCAAGTACGGAAGAAGGATTCATTACTGCAGGCTTCCAGGAAAGGCTGTAAGGAACCTGTAAAAGAAAATAATTTAAAAACTGTATCACAGAGCTCTGTGAAGGGAAAAGCTACTGATACCTTGAGAGGGCTTTAAATGCCTCATGTTGTGCAACAATTAGAACAATGAAATAATTCAGTTTATGCTGGGCATGTGATGCAAAACTCAGGTAAAACTAGGAACTGAAAAAATGCAAGTTCCTAAGAGTTCTGACATTACCAACCCTTGTATTAAAACAAGGCCTATTCCCTCGAGAACAAAGGAAAACAGGAAACAGAACCACTTTAAACCCAAATAAAAATTCTTACCTTGAACATGTTTATTCAATGCTCATTTATCATAGTTCTTTCCTTTTGATCAAGTAAGGGGAACATTAAGCCATGCAAAAAGACTCACAAGGAAATATTTTAAGCTGCTGCAAATCACATGGACCAGGATAGTACATGTAGAAGCTACATGTGATGCCTGACAGCCTTTCATTATCAAAATACCGTCACTGTACTCTGTTTCAAGACAGGCAAAATAATAATTGAGAGGTAAAAGTAAGAGCTGGATAAGAACACTTAAATACCGACAAAACTCCCTTAAAATAGTGGATGAATTTTTAAGTCACATTGTATAACATTACCCTCTATCCTGTTCCCCAAAATCTAATCACTTCAGAGTAAGGTTAAATCTCTTCCCTCATTATCTCATTCTTGGTTCTGATATTACAGATTAATTTATAGCAAAACCATAAAGAAAATAAGAAAAAATAGATTTTTTTTTTAAAAATTAAGTCTTTCATATAGCATAGGCCATTTGCATTAGAAGAATACAGATGTGAGGAAAATATTCTAATGTTTACATTATGTTAAAAATATTTAATGTTATACTTAATAAGAAATGGCAATATGCAAATTAAAGCATAAACCAATGAACATAGACATTAAAAAAATTCTTCGCACATACACTGAATACTGTAATTTATGAATAGGATGTCAAGATGCTTTTATCAGTTCAAAGAGGACTGGATGTATCTTTTGGTCAAAATTTTCCCTTTCCTTGTCCAAGGACATACAATTTATTAAATACAACAAGTAGCCTTGGAGTGAATTCAAGGTTTTAATTTATTTCAGGAGGCCTACTGATACAAAATCAGAAGAAATGCTACAGAAAACTGTTTGGAATAGGGCTTTAAAAAAAATCAACTTGGCAATTAAAGTCAGCTCAAGAGCCTAAACAACTAATTTTCTCAGAGCTGGGCATTTACACTGAATATTCAACAAGGACCCAGTAATTCCTAGACCTTACTCTTAGGAAGAAGATCTTTCAAAACCTGTATTTTTTGCAAAACAATAGCATGTCATTTGACTACACCAACAAATGACCCAGTGTCACACACACCCCCATGCTGAGTACATCTTATCATGCATTATACTATACAGTGAAGTCAACGAGATTCGTGGGCCTTTGCTGGTTTACACTGTCAGAAGAGACCGAGAAATAGCAAATGCCTTTAACACAGATCAGAGAAACTATGGCTACATGTAATCTTTCCTCTCTTCTCAGTGGAGGTGCTTCTGGCAGAATTGACTTAAAAGGCTGTATTCAACAGGCAGAATCCACAAAATATGTAACGGAATATGTGGATGGACACTATACAGATGCAGGATAATAGACTTTGGTAGCAAGGGGCCAACCTTGCAGCAATAAAAAGCAAGATGACAACTGATGTACTATGAAGTTTGGAAAAGGCAGGCAGATGTTTTGTGGTTTGCACAGCTGAAGTGTACTCTGTTCTTTACCCAAAGCAACACAAAACAATAATTATTCCAAGAGACATACATTATCAAGGCAATAAATGGTTATAAATTAATTTATTTTTCTGTTTACTTCTACTTCCATGTTTCTTGCATTCTTTCTACCATGTTCAATCCACCTATGGTTTTATGCATATTCTCCTCTCCCTTTTAGTAGTATTTCCAGTTACAATTTGCTGTCTCAAAATTGTAACAGTAATAAATATAAAACTAGAATGAAAGTAAAGTAGAAATGTAAGCAGTAATCAGTAAAAAAAAAACTAAAAAAATGATAAGTACACATATATTTTTATTCTCTGTCATTAAAGATACTATTTCTCATTTTATTTTAGCTTATGGTCTTCAGTTAAGGATAGAATGCTATAACTGAAGTGATGCATTAAGTACCATTGACAGCTTCTAAGACAATAAAAATATCATGGATACTGGAATAGTGAACTATGTCTGCATATCTATAGATCTGCAGATACCACAATACATTAAAAGCAAATTAATTGAAGACTGGAAGTTACAGGAGAATTCCTAAAAGGAACAAAGAAAAGGGCACAGCCTCCTTAAGATGAAAATTAAGGTTCATGTTGAAAAAATACATTTTATACGTGTGCATAAATACATATTTATACAAAATAGATACATATAAAGAAACCATTTACCAGATATATTTGAATTGACCTGAAAATGTCTTTTTATCAAATATCACAAGG